GAGAACAGCAATTTCACGTGCAGTATGGACTCTTGCTAGTCACTTCCCTGGGATACTTAAGATTTTCTATGTGAACTACAGCAATGATTTCAGCAGCAGATGGTGCCAAGGGCATGATATAAACATGCCAAACCAACCCTCCTTGTTTAGTTGAGCCCTTGCACCATTTAAAAACAATAGCAGCAGTAGCAAACCTATCATCTGTCTGAAGAAACTTAATTTTGATTCTCCGGGATTATTGATAAGATTCACTTGAGAATCATTAAATTTATGGGGCAGGGAGAAAACAGATGACATTAGCAGGGAGAGAGAGAAAAAGAGAAACCAATAGATGGGTTGTAGTAAGGAGGGTGGAAAGAGGGGTTTTCAACAACTCATGGAGCTATTTCCTTCTTTTTGAAGCTCGAAAGAGAGATGGATTGGGTGAGAGAAATAACCTTTTGTGGGGAGGAGGGTAAGGCTTTGTGGCAGCTATCCCACTTAAATCTAACATCAACCTAACTGTTCAAAATTTGACCCCTCCAGCTGAGACATAACTGAATTAGATGTGTGGGCTCCTTCTCCGGCAATTAAGGCGTTAACCTTTTCTACTAACGTTCCCATCTCTGTTCAGTTCTAGACTAGAACATGGCAATTGTCTTCCTTATAGAACCTGAGTTTGTGTAGTACTGTAGTTCCCCGCCACCTTTCCTAAGGACAGAGACCAGCTACTTCCCAGCAGAGCGATTCCCATACAAGGAAACAAGGCGTAAATCTTGGATAGACTCTCCGCACGCCACAAAATGTTCCTCTACAGAAATACCATCTGTGACTGTGATTCTTTTCTAAACCTGCTACTGTTTCTTGTTCAATGTCTACCTCAACCAAATTAAAGAAGGAAACAAAATGAAAAGAAAACAAAAAGAGCTGCTATCACAGCAGGGTCCTTAGGCCAAGCTGCTTCCTTAAGATGTTTATGGTGAGATTTTGAAGCTGTTTCCTTAAGATGTTTATGGTGAGATTTTGATATGAGAATGTATTAAATATTAATGTTTTATAGTAAAAGGTAAAATGGCTGATTTTACTGAACTGTACTGTACTGATTGTATTCAGGTGTAAGTATCAAGGATTAAGACTTAATGTTGTACAGCTGTGGTACATGATGAAAATTTGAGTATCAGAAAATGAAGTAATGTATTTTCTGATTGGTCACAGAACTGTACATAAGCCATGTGTAAAATGAACGTCTTTATCTGCTGTAAATCAGATCACTTTTTCCTACGCTGTGTGTTGCTTCATGTCATGTTATACTGCCAGAGGAATGTCTATTATCTATGTATGTATGTAAATAGACTAAGTTATTGGTTTTACTCTCTCAGTATCATAGTGTCATAAGTATCTCTGCTAAGCAATATCTCCTTACTGTGCTAATGTTATGAGAATACACGTTATAATCAAAATTCTCAACATCTCTGTCACCCCCACCCCATCCCAGGCTCCCCAGACATTTAGTCCATTTATAATCAAAATTCTCAACAGTTTACTGTGAGGTTAACGTATTTATTGCAGTAATAAGTCAGAGCAGGATTAATGTGCATGCACATCTGCCCATTTCTTTCCATAGCAGTCCTTCCACTCAAAATGCTACACAGAAGCCTGGGGGCCCCTGCTGAATGTGAGAAAAGAAATCTGAAAATTGAGTAGTGGCACACCGTGCTGAATGTGAGAAATCTGAAAATTGAGTAGTGGCACACCTTGTGAGTAGAGCCTTTCCATCCATGAAAGGCAGATGCTAGATGCAATCCAGTTAGCCTAAAGATAAACGTTAGAGCAGAACCACTGAATACATTCTATGGTCTACTCTAGTTGGGACTAACAATTGGATTTAGCCCAATATAACATGTCAAGGTCAACTCAACCATTTTTCTGCCAAAGGCAAAATGCAAGATGATCTCTCCCCTGCTGCCTTACTCCACACACAGAACCCTACAGATTCTGTCTGTGGAGATGTGCCTCGAGTTGTGAGTTTATGGCTGATGCAATCTTTGAACCAGGAGAATGGTTGTAGAGTTTCAATCTGCATGGAATAAGCTTGTTATAACACACAGTATGGCCCCCTCATTTATATAAGGGCTCGGCTGTATCCATTAATTTGTGTATTTGGGGTGGGTCTCATCTATTTTGATGGGACCAAACGAGATGTGAGCTTAAATCTTTATCCTCCTCAAAAAAGCAGCCATCAGGAGAGTGGAGTAGGATACAAAGTAGACTGAAGCCACAGTGTGGTTCCCTGTACCAACCTATATGTGGGACAGGAAGCAACAGTTAGAACTGGATATGGAACAACTGATTGGTTCAAAATTGGGAAAGGAGTACAACAAGGCTGTATATTGTCTCCCTGCTTATTTAACTTATATGCAGAGTACATCATGC